GGCGAAACCCTGCCTCTACTAAAAATAAAAATGCCTGGCGTGGTGGTGGACACCTGTAATCCCAGCTCCTCAGAAGGCTGAGGTAGGAGAATTGCTTGAACCCAGGAGGTGGAGGTTGCAGTGAGCCAAGGTCCCGCCACCACACTCCAGCCTGGGCGACAAGAACGAAACTCCATCTCAAAGAAAAAGAAAACAACAACAAATACCATCATCCCCTCAGTGTCCACAGAGGATTGGTTCCAGGACCCCCTTCAGACACCAAAAATCTGATACCAAAACCCTCAAATCACTTATATGTAAAATGGCACAGTGTTTGCATATAGCCTACGTACATTCTCCTATATAGTTTAAATCATTTCTATATTGCTTATAACACTTAATGCAATGTAAATATATAAACAGTTGTTATACTGCATTTTAATTTGTATTTTTGGTTGTATCATTTTTATTTATTTTTTCATCTGTAGTTGACTGGGTCCACAGATGTGGCACCTGTGAATAGGGAGGGACAATTGTATAAAGTAGTACCCATATTACTCCCCTTGGGGCATGAAATACAAGCACCCACTCCTTTCTTGTAGAGCAGCAATTGTCAACCCTGGCCCTGGATTAGAATCCCCCTCCCCCAATCCCTCAGGAAGCTTAAGTCCCCAATTCTGCACCCCCAAAGATTCTGGCTTAATTGGCCTGGGGTGGATACCCTGGCACTGATCTTTTAAAAAACTACTTGAAGGGGTTCTACTGTTCAGTCTAGGTCGGAAACGAATCCCCTGGTTTGGGAGAATTACTTTGTTTTCAAGTTGACTGCATACATATGCATCCCTAACCGATGTATTTCATTTTTTTTTTTCTTTTTGAGACGGAGTCTCACTCTGTTGCCCAGGCTGGAGTGCAGTGGCCGGATCTTGGCTCACTGCAAGCTCCGCCTCCTGGGTTTACGCCATTCTCCTGCCTCAGCCTCCCAAGTAGCTGAGACTACAGGCGCCCGCCACCTTGCCCGGCTAGTTTTTTTTTTATTTTTTAGTAGAGACGGGGTTTCACCGGGTTAACCAGGATGCTCTCGATCTCCTGACCTCGTGATCCGCCCGTCTCCGCCTCCCAAAGTGCTGGGATTACAGGCTTGAGCCACCGCACCCAGCCATGTATTTCATTTTGCCTGGTTTTGAAGTTTCTGGAACCACGCTGTATATACGCTTTCATGATTTGCTCTTGCTCCTAATTGTAAAGTGTGTCTGTGTTGTACGGTGTATGGTTTGAATTCCATACTTGGAATAGACCAGTTTGCCCATTCTACTGTTAGTGGACAGTTAGGTCATTCGGCTGTTACCACAATGCTGCTGTGAATCTGCTTGTATGCATTTCCTGGTGCAGTTACACAAGGATTTCTGGATTAGAATGTCTGGCCTGGTGTGTTAGTTTGTTAGAGCTGCCACAACACATTAACACAGCCTGAGTGGCTTAAAATGTATTAATGTTCTCTTGGTTCAAGAGGCCAGAAGTCCCAGCACCACCTCACTCTTGAAGGCTTGGGGGTTAGAATCCTTTCCAGATTATCGGATGGCTCCAGGTGTCCCTTGGCTTGTGGCTGCATCACATCAATATCTGTTTCCATTTTCTTTCTTCTTTTTTTTTTTTTTTTTTTTTTTTTTGAGATGGAGTCTTGCTTTGTGGCCCAGGCTGGAGTGCAGTGGTATGATCTCAGTTCACTGCAACCTTCGCCTCCCAGGTTTAAGTGATTCCCCTGCCTCAGCCTCCCTAGTAGCTGGGACTACAGACGTGTGTCACCACGCCCAGCTAATTTTTGTATTTTTAGTAGAGACGGGGTTTCACCATGTTGGCCAGGCTGGTCTCGAACTCCTGACCTCAGGTGATCCACCTGCCTCAGCCTCCCAAAGTGCTGGGATTACAGGAGTGAGCCACCGTGCCCAGCCTTTTTTTTTTTTTCTTTTTTAATTTTTATTTTTTGAGACAGTCTCGCTCTTGTCACCAGGCTGGAGTGCAAGCAGCATGATCTCGGCCCACTGCAACCTCTGCCTGCCAGGTTCAAGCGATTCTCGTGCCTCAACCTCCTAAGTAGCTGGGATTACAGGTGTATGCCACCAGATCTGACTAATTTTTATATTTTTAATAGAGATGGGGTTTTACCATATTGGCCAGGCTGGTCTTAAACTCCTGACCTCAAGAGATCCACCCACCTTGGCCTCCGAAAGTACTGGGATTACAGACCTGAGTCACCGTACCCGGCTTGCTTCCATCTTCACGTGGCTTTCTCCTCATGTCTGTCTGCTCTTCTGGGTTTTTTGTTTTTGTTTTTAGAGACAGGGTCTCATTCTGTCACCCAGGCTGATGTGCAGTTGTGCAAGCATAGCTTACTGCAGCCTCAAACTCCTGGGCTCAAGCTGTTCTCCTACCTGTGCTGAGTAGCCGGGACTACAAGCACACACACTGCACCCTGCTAATCCTTTTAAAAATTGTAGACTGGGCGCAGTGGCTCACGCCTGTAAACCCAGCACTTTGGGAGGCCGAAGTGGGCGGATCACAAGGACAGGAGTTCAAGACTAGGCTGGCCAACATGGTGAAACCCCGTCTCTACTAAAAGTACAAAAATTAGTTGGGTGTGGTGGTGCGTGCCTGTAGTTCCAGCTACTCAGGAGGCTGAGGCAGTGAACCCGGGAGGTGGAGGTTGCAGTGAGCCAAGATTGCACCACTGCACTCCAGCCTGGGCAACCAAACAAGACTCCATCTCAAAAAAAAAAAAAAAAAAAATTGAGATGGCGGCTGGCCTCAGTGGCTCACACCTGTAATCTGAGCACTTTGGGAGGCTAAGTTGGGTGGATCACTTGAGCCCAGGATTTCAAGACCAGCCTGGGCAACATGGCAAAACCCTGTCTCTACAAAATATGCACAAAAAAAAAAGAAAAAAAAATAGCCAGGTGTGGTGGCACGCACCTGTAGTCCCAGCTACTTGGGAGGCTGAGGTGGAAGGATCATCTGAGCTCAGGAGGTGAATATTGTAGTGAGCCAAGATGTTGCCACTGCACTCCAGCCTGGGTGAAAGAGTGAAACTTTGTCACACACACACACCCAAAAAACAACTGAGTTGGGGTCTTGTTATGTTGACTAGGCTGGTCTTGAACTCCTGGCCTCAAGCAATTCACCTGTCTTGGCACCCCCCCATCCAATGTGCTGGGATTACAGGCATGAGCCACTGCACCCAGCCTTCTTACTCTATTTTATATATATATATATATATATTTATATATATATATAATTATAATTATAATGACTAACTCGGTGATACCCTGTCTCTACTTGAGACAGAGTCTCGCTCTGTTGCCCAGGCTGGAGTGCAGTGGTGCGATCTCGGCTCACTGCAAGCTCCGCCTCCCGGGTTCATACCATTCTCCTGCCTCAGCCTCCTGAGTAGCTGGGACTACAGGCGCCTGCCACCACGCCTGGCTAATTTTTTTTGTATTTTTAGTAGAGACAGGGTTTCACCGAGTTAGCCAGGATGGTCTCGATCTCTTGACCTTGTGATCCGCTTGCCTCGGCCTCCCAAAGTGCTGGGATTACAGGCGTGAGCCACTGCGCCCGGCCTCTATTATATTTTTTAAAGCAGGGTCTCAGTATGTTGCCCAGGCAGGCTACCCTCCAACTCCTGGCCTCAAGCAATCCTCCCGCCTCAGCCTCCTTATCTTTTTTTTTTTTTTTTTTTTTTAGAGAGGCTCTCTCTTTCTTCCCCGGGGGGGTGGCAACCAGCACGATCTCAGCTCACTGCAACCCCACCTCCAGGGTTCAAGTGATTCTCCTCCCTCAACCTCCCGAGTAGCTGGGATTACAGGCACATGTCGCCATGCCCGGCTAATTTTTGTGTTTTTAGTAGAGACAGGGTTTCGCCATGTTGGCCAGGCTGGTCTCAAACTCCTGACCTTGGGTGATCCACCTACGTCAGCCCTCCTAAAATGCTAGAATTACAGGAGTGAGCCACTGGCCTTTATCCTTTCTTATGAAGACACTTGTCATTGAATGTAGGCACCACACTGGTCATTGGGATTATCTCATTTAAGATCTTAAACTTATTTACATCTGCAAAGACTTTTTTTTTTGATAGAGGGTTTCACTCTGTTTCCCAGGCTCAGAGTACAGTGGCATGATCACAGCTCACCACAGTTTTGATCTTCCTGGGCTCAGGTAATCCTCCCACCTAGGCTTCCCGAGTAGCTAGGACTACAGGTGCGTGCCACCACACCCGGCTAGTTTTCTGTAGAAACGGTTTCACCATGTTGCCCAGACTGGTCTTGAACTTGTGGGCTCAAGTGATCTCCTGCCTTGCCCTCTCAAAGTGTTGGGATAACAGGCATGAGCGACCATACCCAGCTACAAAGACTCTTTTCCTACATAAGGTCACATTCACGGGGTCCAGGTAGACATCTCTTTTCAGGGACCACAGTTCAACCCACTACAACTAAGCAGTGCCACACTTTTCTTCACGTAGGTGTGGCTTATTGGATATTTCATTTTTCGGTGACCTTGGCCCCTTGCTGAAGAAGGGATAGACCCACTCCCTCTGCAGAAGGGCTGAGGTTTAGGCAAGGTCAACTCTTTCCCCGTCTCATGACATTAACATTCCTATGCCCATTAGGTGTCATTCTGCCAGCCCGGCTTGTTCTCTGGTGTTGGGGGGCTCTCCGTGGTCGGCAGTTCTGGCAATACGTCCCTGAGTCTACTCACTGCCACGTGATCTTGGGCAAGCCATGCCTCCTCTTTCAGACTCAGTTTCTTCATCTGTAAAGTGAAGGCTCACGCTCCCCACCTCTGGATCAGAGATGCTGGGGGAGTCCCTAAATAGGAAGCCCCGTGTCTGTCCTTGGGTGGGAATTCTGGGCCTCGCTGCATGGCGGAGCTGCTGATGGTCTCAGGCTCTTGCTGTGGACCCTGGGGTACACGGCCTCGCCCCACCCACTCTTGACCCTCCAACAGCAATGGAGCCAAGCCCCAAATACTTCACTTGTTTCTTTTTATTTGGTGTTGGATCCAGGACAAGGGCAGTGGGGAATCGAAGCAGGGGCTTCCCTAGCTTCATACCCCCAGGCCCCTGTGCCTCTGGAATGTACCAACAAAGGGCAGGGGTTTCAGGGGGCTCAGCCTCTTCATGGGGCACGCCTCAGCCCTGGGTTTGTCGCAGTTTGGTCTTGAACTTCCCTTTGGCCTTGACCTTCCTATGGGTGCTAGGAATTGTTCCGACTTCAAAGGGCAGAGGCAACAAGGCACTTCTAGCTGGGGGCCTCGGAGGCACAAGAGAGCAGGAGCCTCAGTGTGAAAGGAGGGGAGAAGAGGGAGATGGTCAGAAGTCTGTTGAGGAAGGGGCTTCTGAGGGAGACCAGCTCTTCCCTTGGGGTGCCAGCCAGCCTGGGAGCTGCCATCTGCCTGTGCCCTCCAGCCCTGACCCCATGCTCAGCACGGTCCACTGGGTGTGAGCCACAGGTCGAGGCCCACCTTTCTTGGCTTCAGGATGCTGGGTGCCACCTTGAAATCAAGGTTAGGTGGGAGGGAAATGAAGACCTTGGCTGTGGGTAGAGTCATCAAGGCCTTGCCTGTGGTCGACAGGGCCTTAGTGCCCACCAGCTTGCTGTGCTGTCGTCTGAGGACCTGGCCCTGGTGTCAGAGTACATGGGGAGAAGGCAGCTGGGCCTTGGTGTGGAGGCTGGGGAAGTGGTGAGGGGCTGTGGGAGCAAGAGAAGCTCTGAGGGCCTGGGGGGGCCCCAAGGTGGCCTAGCTGCCCTAAAAGGCGTGTGTGGAGGATGGGGGGATGTGGAGGGGCGGGGTGAAGGCAGATGGAGCCCTCCGGGTTCCTCCTCCAGAGGCAGTGAGAAGAAAACAGGGTAGAGTCCAACAGACCTGGGTCTGCATCCCAGCTGTGCCCCTTCTGAGCTGTGCAACCTTGGGCAACTTCTTTAAACTTCCTGATACCTTGGCTGGAAAATGGGGATAATAGCACCTACCTTGCTAGGCTGGTGTAGGCACTAAAGGAGCTGGGCAGGTAGTAGCATGGGGCAAATTGTTAAGTGCTGGACACATGTTAGTTATTTTCCCCAGCGGTGACTGCTTGAAGGCAAAGGCAGAATACTGCAGTGGGAAAAGCGTGGGTGCTGGAGAGAACAACCTGGGCTTAAGTTCTGGCATCTTTGAAATAAGGTCATCTTTGAAAAATCACTCTGCCTCGCAGAGTGACTACTTTGGAGGAGACAATACTTATTTGGCCGGGTTTTTATTGGTTTTTTTAAACAGAGTTTTGCTCTTGTTGCCCAGGCTGGAGTACAATGGTGCAATCTCAACTCACTGCAACTTCCGCTTCCCGGGTTCAAGCGATTTTCATGCCTCAGCCTCCCAAGTAGCTGGGATTATAGGCACCTGTCACCACACCCGGCTAATTTTTGTATTTTTTAGTAGAGTAGAGATGGGGTTTCACCATGTTGGCCAGGCTGGTCTCAAACTCCTAACCTCAAGTGATCTGCCCGCCTCGGCCTCCCAAAGTGCTTTTTTTTGTTTGTTTGTTTTTAAGACAGCATCTCGCTCTGTCTCCCAGGCTGGAGTGCAGAGGTGCAATCATAACTCACTGCAGCCTTGACCTCCCGGGCTCAAGCCATCCTCATTAGCCTCGCGAGTAGCTGGGACCACAGGCTCGCGCCACCATGCCCAGCTAATTTGGCTGTGTATTTTTAAAGAATACTTTGTGAGTAGTGGCTTTTACTTGCTACTGGTGGCTCTTTGGTGGGGTAGCTGATCCAGGTGGTTAGGAGGGGCCTGGAGAGCAGGAATAAATCGCCTTGGGACACTTGGGTGTTTTGGGCGAATGGTCTTACCCAGGGCCTGGGGGTTCTTCGGACTCAACGGCAATGTGTTCAAGTGGTGGGGTTGCCTGTCCCCACTAGAAAAGGTCATAGTGAAAATGCAGCCTATCCTGGTGCTGGGGGCATCCTACTCTGGGAGATTGGGGCAGACCAGGGCTGTGGCACTTTTCGCCTTGCCTTTGTTCCCCTTTCCGAGGGCTGAAGTGGTGGCAGTGGAGACTGGCTTCTCACTGTGCCCCAGGCTCCTGGCCCCAGCACCTTTCCTAGAAGCTGACCTGTGGATAGGGGTCCCCGAGTCCTTGCCTTCCCTAGAGCCTCGCTGGGTCAGCAGAGGGACTGCTGGGCGGACCCCCATCCGCCGATGACACATCGCCATGGGCTTCTTGATGGTGGAGCCCTCTACCAGGAGCCGGATGCCCACATATTGGGGCACCTCCACAGCAGGCTGTGGGCAAGAAGAGGAGACAAGGCCCACTCAGTCAGTGGTAGTGGAATCCTTGGCCCAGCGGGACCCAGGGTAGATATGGGTGGAATTACTTTCTGAGGCACCTGGTCAAAGAGACATTTCTGAGCTGAGAAATGGAAAGCCCACCTCTGAGTCAGTACCTAGAGTCACAGAGCTCCAGGAATTGCTAGCCCAGAGGAATGGGGGAATCCCAGCCATGTCCCACCAGCACCCCTCAGCCACATTTCCCTCCTAAGCTGCCCCCAGCCCCTGCTGGAATGTGTGTGGCTCCACTGCACAGGCTACCGCAGGTGGACAGCTTCCTGAGCTCAGCCAATCAGATTCTCTGCACAGGGAGTTTGAGTTACGCCACCCAGACAGGTAAGAGGCTTGGAGCCTGCCTAGAGCCTCATGTGAACCCAGGTTATGGGGGAGCAGAAATTAAGAACCTTAAAGAAGACAGTCTGTGGAGAGAATGAAGTAGCGAATACGCAGAGGAAGGCAGAGAGAAGGGTCCAAGGAGAGGGAGTCCCTTACAACTCTCAGTTCCTATCAGGCCAAGCTGTGTGTCCTGCCCTCAGCTGGGCTCCAGGAGAGCTCCCTGTGCCTCGCCAGCAACCTGGAGTCAATTGGAGGTATCTTCTGTGCCACTGAAGGATCCTGATCAGAATCTATCTAAACATCAGAATTACTTGGAGCTTGTTAAAAATACAGCTATCTGCCGGGCATGGTGGTCACACCTGTAATCCCAGCACTTTGGGGGGCTAAAGCCGGCAGATCACTTGAGGTCAAGAATTTGAGACCAGCCTGGCTAACATGGCAAAACCCTGTCTCTACTAAAAATACAAAAAAATTAGCAGGTCATGGTGGCAGGCACCTGTAATCCCAGCTACTCGGGAGGCTGAGGCAGGAGGATTGCTTGAATGCAGGAGGCGGAGGTTGCACTGAGCCGAGATCGCGCCATTGCACTCCAGCCTGGGTGATAAGAGCGAAACTCCGTCTCCAAAAAAAAAAATAAATAAATAAATACAGCTATTGCCAGGCATGGTGGCTCATGCCTGTAATCCTAGCACTTTGGGAGGCTGAGGCAGGCAGATATCTGAGGTCAGGAGTTGGAGACCAGCCTGGCCAACATGGCAAAACCCCGTCTCTACTAAAAACACAAAAATTAGCCAGCCATGGTAGGCACCTGTAATCCCAGCTACTTGGGATCTAAGAAGGAGAATCACTTGAATCCAGGAGGCGGAGGTTGCAGCGAGCCGAGATAGCACCACTGCACTGCAGCCTGGGTGGCAGAGCAAGACTCTGTCTCAAAAAAAAAGAAAAATTAAAAAAAAATTCTTTTTAATCAAATAAAAATATAGCTATCAGCACTCCCGAGTGGCCCCAAATGATGAAGGAAAGCTCATCTTTAAAGAAGAATCTCAGCTAATAAATGCAGAAGGAACAACAGAATTAGACATTTGCCATTTTGCAACTCTAATAAAATAGGCAATAATCAAAACTGGTATCAAAACAATTAGATGAATGGATGACAGGAAAATGACAGTCATCTGGACAGAGCCAACACAACACCTTACAAAAAAATTAATTGCAAAGGGGAGATGTAGCTTATAATGGAGAGATCTCGTAACCACCGCTGTAACCCACAGTCAAACTCAGCAGCACTAACTGTGAGATACTGTCAAAGGATGTGCCTTGTGATGCCATATGAGGTACCCAACATCACCTCTGAAGTGCTCTTGGCAAAAATGTTTAACCTGAACCTCATCAAGCTGTCTGACCTAACTTCTAGTTCCTGAGACAATCAGCTAACAAAAGACCAAGGTAAATAACACCATAAGGAAACAATCAGATAAATCCAGAATGTGGGACAGTTCTACAGAACAACCGGCCTGGCCCCTCAAAAGATCAAAACTGTGGTGTCAAAAGGCACTGGGGCTGGCCTAGATGAAAAGAGACAAAAAACCAGTGCAAGGTGTGAGCCTTCACTATGTGCTGGCCTAAAAACAAAAACAAGAACAAATCAGCAATAAAAGACATTTAGAGGGCTTGGCGCGGTGGCTCACGCCTGTAATCCTAGCACTTTGGGAGGCCGAGACGGGCGAATCACGAAGTCAGGAGATCGAGACCCTTATGGCTAACAGTGAGACCATTATGGCTAACACGGTGAAACCTTGTCTCTACTAAAATACAAAAAGTTAGCCAGGCATGGTGGCGGGCGCCTGTAGTCCCAGCTACTCAGTGGGGTGGAGGCAGGAGAATCGCTTGAACCCGGGAGGCGGAGGATGCAGTGAGCTGAGATGGTGCCACTGCACTCCAGCCTGCGTGATAAAGCGAGACTCTGTCTCAAAAAAAAAAAAAAAAAAAAAAGATGTTTGGGGGACATTTGAAAAATGCAGGTGCGTAGTCACCTCCCCAAGCTAGACATCTTGGGTCAATCTCTGGGGGTGGAGCCTCCTGACATCCGTACCTTTAGAAGCTTTCACATGCTTCTGGCCTGGGCACTGGCATTGGGAGCACTGCACTACAATGGCACCTTTTCCCTCAGCTTGCTCATATTTTCCTGCCCATGTATTTCACCATTTACATTTTTTGAAACCAAAACGCCAATATATTAATTTAAGAAATGATCAGGGCCGGGCGTGGTGGCACACGCCTGTAATCCCAGCACTTTGGGAGGCCAAGGTGGGCGGATCATGAGGTCAGGAGATCAAAACCATCCTGGCTAACACAGTGAAACCCTGTCTCTACTAAAAATACAAAAAATGAGCCAGGCGTGCTGGCGCGCACCTGTAGTCCCAGCTACTTGGGAGGCTGAGGCAGGAAAATGGCATGAACCCAGGAGGCGGAGCTTGCCTTGCGCCGAGATCGCGCCACCGCGCTCCAGCCTGGGCAACAGAGCAAGACTCTTATCTTGAAAAAAAAAAAAAAAAGATCAATAACTGTAATGAAGACGAGGTCACTTAGGTCATGTGATCGGTATGCTCTCTTCCTGTAACCAAACCTTGACAGAAGCCAAATGCTAATCAGAAGCCACTTAAACTGCCACAAGAAATTCTATCCAGAGCTCAGAAAGCTTTGCAATCAATTTTCTGACTGATTTTTTAAAATGCTGTTCTATTTTACAAGTAGACTTCAATCTCTCTTTGAAGCAAGATGAGTAAAATAATTATAATACTACTAATAATAGTAGCTACCAGTAATTGCCTATTACTATACATTCAGGCACTTTACAGGTTATACATGATGAAACTCCTAACCTTATTAGGTAATAACAACATTAGCTAAAACTTAGTAGCATTTACTATGTGCCAGGCATTATTCTAAAGTACTTTACTGGCTGGGCACGGTGGCTCCTGCCTGTAATCCCAGCACTTTGGAAGGCTGAGGTGGGCGGATCACCTGAGGTCAGGAGTTCGAGACCAGCCTGGCCAACATGGAGAAACCCTGTATCTACTAAAAATACAAAAATTAGACAGGCGTTGTGGTGGGCACCTGTAATCCCAGCTACTTGGGAGGCTGAGGAGAATCGCTTGAACTCAGGAGGTGGAGGTTGCAGTGAACCAAGATCATGCCACTGCACTCCAGCCTGGGCAAAAGAGCGAGACTCGGTCTCAAAAATAAATAAATGAAAATGAAGTACTTTACTTATCAACTCATTTAATTCTCACAACTCATAGTACCTAACTTTGTGAGTTAGGTACTATTTTTATTCTTACAGATGAGGAGACCTAGGGGTTAGGAACTTGTCTGAAGTCACACAGCTTGTTGTCACTGAACAGGAATTTGAAACCAAGGAGACGGCCGGGCGCGGTGGCTCAAGCCTGTAATCCCAGCACTTTGGGAGCCCGAGACTGGCGGATCACGAGGTCAGGAGTTTGAGACCATCCTGGCTAACCCGGTGAAACCCCGTCTCTACTAAAAAATACAAAAAACAAAACTAGCCGGGCGCGGTGGCGGGCGCCTGTAGTCCCAGCTACTCGGGAGGCTGAGGCAAGAGAATGGCGTGAACCCAGGAGGCGGAGCTTGCAGTGAGCCAAACTCGCGCCACTGCACTCCAGCCTGGGAGACAGAGCGAGACTCCGTCTCAAAAAAAAAAAAGAAACCAAGGAGATTCCAGAATCTCTGCTCTTATGACTATGCTATATGCCTCTCTAGAAATATTATCCCCATACACTAATTCATTTTATTCTCCCATTCCCATGAGAAAGTTGGTAATAATATCCCCATTTCAAAGATCAGGAGACTGAGGCTCAAGGAGGTGAGGTCACCTTAGCAGGACCAGGACTTGAATCTGGGTCTTAAACTGGGTCTGACTGCAGAGCCCTATGCTCCACTATGGGGCTGCCTGGAAGAGGGTGCAGACTCTCTGGGATCCTGCCTGGGCCCAACCTCCTCACCTGCTTATAGATGAGCTCAAAGGCTCCTGTGTCACAGCTGTGGTCCAGTCGCCGGTCAATGACCACGCGCAGGGTGTCAGCTTGCACGCCAGCACAGAGCCGGGCTGTGACTGCCGTGGAGGGCGCCATGGTGGGGCTGGCGTTGATCTCAATCAGCCAGGGCTGGAAGTCCTCCCCGAACACAAAGTCAGCACCATAGAGCTCAAAGCTGGCCTTCCGACACTGCACGGCGTCCTGGGAGGTCTGAAGTGCGTGGATTACAGCATCCTTCATGCCAGGCACGATGATGGTGGACCAAGCATTTGGGGCCCCCATCTCCTGCAGGTGGGCCTGAAACCTCTGGCTGGACCACATGTTGTCTGGGGGAAGCAGTGGATGCCGATGGCATGAGTTCTCCAGGTGCTTCTGGATGGAGTTGTTACACAGGTGCACTGAGCTGCGGCAGAGAGCAGAAAACTGAAGTCCAGGCCCTTGTGTCTCTCCCATCCAAGTTCAGGGAGGACAGGCAAGTCCTGGAACCAGCCCTGGGACACCCTGCACTATTCAACTTGAGATGGGGCCCTACTGGGAAGGACAAAAAGGACAGAGGCCTGGGCCCCACCACATTCCTTTAGGGCCAGAACTACTGTTATCTCTCAGGGCTGCTCTGAGGGCACTAATTATGGGGGCCACAGTACTAAGTGCTTTGTGCATAGTCTCAGTTAACCATCTCAGTGTTTGGAAGATAAGAGGGTGGGTAAGGGTATGGCCCCGTCATCACCAGGACGTGGTCAAATGCCATCTCCACACTAGTTGTGAGACCTTAGGCAAGTCATCTAACCTGCGTGCTCTTCACATCTGCAAAATGAGGGTAGTAACAGTACCCACTTCACTGTTTTTTATTTTTTTCTTCAGACCTGGTGAACAGGAAGTATTCACTGGGTTCTTATGAAGAATAAGATAATGGATACAACGTGCTTAGCACTATCACATATGAAGCACTCAATAATTGATAGCTATGAATTTCATACTACTGCCTCCATTCTTCAGATGTGGAAACCAAGGCTTAAATAGGTTTTCACATGACCAGAGTCAAACAACTTGGAAGCTGCAGAGACAGAATTTGAATTCAGGCTTCAACAAGGCTTTCTCTCACCCCAGAACTTAACACGACATCTTGGTTTTCAAAACTTCTGACCTCCTTTCCCTTGCTCTACATTTGCTTCCCTTTTTTCCCCAACGACAAATATAATCTTTTTTTTTTTTTGAGACAGAGTCTTGCTCTGTTGCCCAGGTTGGAGTACAGTCGCACGATCTCAGTTCACTGCAACCTCCACCTCCCAGGTTCAAGCAATTCTCCTGTCTCGGCCTCCCAAGTAGCTGGGACTACAGGTGCCCGCCAACACACCCAGCTAATTTTTATATTTTTAGTAGAGACGGGGTTTTACCATATTGGTCAGGCTGGTCTCGAACTCCTGACCTCAGGTGATCTGCTTGCCTCAGCCTCCCAAAGTGCTGGGATTACAGGCGTGAGCCACTGCGCCTGGCCCAAATAATCTTTGAACCTGTTAAATAATTTCACTTGTGTTCATTGCTTGTCTGTTTCTCCCTGCTAGAATGTAAGCCCTTGAGAGCTGGGATCTTGTTTTGTTCACTGCTATACCCCAAGTGCCCAGAACAGTGCATGGCATAAGGTACACACTCGGTCAAATCTGTTGGAGGGGCCAGGCACAGTGTAATCCCAGCACTTTAGGAAGCCAAGGTGGGACGATCGCTTGAGCCCAGGAGTTTGAGACCAGCCTGGGCAACATAGTGAGACCCCATGTCTACATAAAAGAATTCAAAAATCAGCTGTGGTACATGTCTGTGGTCTCAGATACTTGGGAGGCTGAGGAGGAAGGATTGCTTGAGCACAGGAAGTCAAGGCTACAGTGAGCCGTGACCATGCCACTGCACTCCAGCCTAGGCAACAGAGTGAGACCGCCCCCTGTCAAAAAAAATAAAAATAAAAAATCTGTTGGATGCAAGGACAGCTGGCTGGATGAGAGCCCGCCTGCCTGCAGTCTGTGTATGGAGCCTAGCGCTGCTGCGCGAGTCCCCTGCACTGTAATTGCCTGTTTGCTTGCCAGTTCCCCAACTAGGCAGGGAGCTTGTGGGAGGCGAACAGAGGGGCTCACTTGTCCAGGTTCTTCAGGGAGAAGGGCTGTGTGGAAAAGCGGATATAGCTGTCGCGGTAGAACCACACGGTAAGTGGGTTCCAGTCAGTTACCAGGAACCATTGTCTCAGGTCAAACTTGGTGCCAAAGATGAGCAGGGGCCGCTCAATATACTTCTGCACCACCCATTTGCCGTCCTTCATCACCATGGGGTTGCCATTCACCAGCTTCAGCATCTCCTCCAGGTGGTCCATGCATATGATGCCTACGGGGGAAGAGGGCAGTCAGGGATTGGAAGGTCAGGCGTGGGCTGGGAGAAGGGTCAGCTTGTCATGAGCTCTCATCCCCTCGGAGCTGATAGGGCTGTGTGGGTAAGGCGGTCTCCCTTAACCAGAACTCAATTCCCTTTGGGAAAGCCAGGAATTTGCTAAGGATTTTAAATTTTTCCTAATTAACCAGTTTTGTTTGATTAAATATGAATATATACATGGATACAAATTTAAAGTGCTGGGCTTTTTTTTTTTTTTTTTTTTTGGAGACGGAGTCTTGCTCTGTCACCCAGGCTGGAGTGCAGTGGCCGGATCTCACTCTGTCACCCAGGCTGGAGTGCAGGGCCGGATCTCAGCTCACTGCAAGCTCCGCCTCCCGGGCTTACGCCATTCTCCTGCCTCAGCCTCCCGAGTAACTGGGACTACAGGCGCCTACCACTACGCCCACATAGTTTTTGTTTGTTTGTTTGTTTTTTTTTTTTTTGTTTTTTTTTTGAGATTGAGTTCTGCTCTGTCGCCCAGGCTGGGGGAGGCAGTGGCCGATCTCAGCTCACTGCAAGCTCGCCTCCCGGGTTTACGCCATTCTCCTGCCTCAGCCTCCCGAGTAGCAATTACAGGCGCCACCACTACGCCCGGCCAGTTTTTTGTTTGTTTGTTTTGTTTGTTTTTTGAGATGGAGCTTGCTCTGTCACTCTGTGGCTGGAGTGCAGTATTTGATCTCAGCTCACTGCAAGCTCCACCTCCCGCGTTTACGCCATTCTCCTGCCTCAGCCTCCCGAGTAACTGGGACTACAGGCGCCCACCACCACGCCCGGCTAGTTTTTTTGTTTGTTTGTTTTGTTTTTTTTTTTTTTGTTTTTTTTTTGAGACGGAGTCTTGCTCTGTCGCCCAGGCTGGGGTGCAGTGGCCGGATCTCAGCTCACTGCAAGCTCCGCCTCCCGGGTTTACGCCATTCTCCTGCCTCAGCCTCCCGAGTAGCTGGGACTACAGGCACCCGCCACCTCGCCCAGCTAGTTTTTTGTATTTTTTAGTAGAGACGGGGTTTCACCGTGTTAGCCAGGATGGTCTCGATCTCCTGACCTCGTGATCCACCCGTCTCGGCCTCCCAAAATGCTGGGATTACAGGCTTGAGCCACCGCGCTCGGCCTTTTTTTTTTTTTTTTTTGAGACAGTCCTGTCGCCTAGGCTGGAGTGCAGTGGCACGAGCCTGGCTCACTGCAACCTCCACCTCCCGGGTTCAAGCGATTCTCCTGCCTCAGTCTCCTGAGTAGCTGGGATTGCAGGTGCCTGCCACCACGTGTGGCCAATTTTTGTATTTTTAGTAGAGACAGGGTTTCACCACGTTGGCCAGGCTGGTCTCCAACTCCTGACCTCAAGTGATCCACCCGCCTCGGCCTCCCAAAGTGCCGGGATTACAAGCGTGAGCCACCGCGCCCGGCCAGTGTTGGGCTTTTTTAAAGTATGTGCACCTATTACTTTCCTACCAATAATAAATAGACTATAAAACAAAACAAAAATTGACAGTACGAAAGGGCATACAATAAAAATTACATCTCCTTGTCCAGAGGCAGCCAACTGCTGCTTCCAGGTCCTTATGGATATCCTTCCAGATCATGTGAGATCCTACACATGCCTTAGTTTCCCAGGATTGTATAAATTAAAACATGTTAAGGATTTGGAATCGTGCTTTAGATGCATGACTGCATTTAATCCTCACCTCACAGGAGGTATTATCATCCTCCTCATTTCACATATGAGGGAACTGGGGTTCAGGGAGGTGATAAAACCTGCTCAAGGTCACGAAGAATATCAGTAGCAGAGCTAGGACTCAAACCCAGGCAATCTGGCTTCAATAGACCTACACTATTAACTTCCTTGGCCTTTACTGGGAGATGGGGGGTGCCAAGGCAGGAAGTAGGAGCTGACCCCCACCTCGTCCGCGGGACTTGGCTCCCGGCTTCACAATCCAGATGTTGCGATCCCCTTCCATGTCTATCTGGGGTACCACGGCCCGCAGCTGCTGCAGGATGTCCTCACAGCGCTGGACCTGAGTGTCGAGGTGCCTGAGTTCTGCCCCTTCGCTGTGGGGAAATGATGGAACTTGGGCAGGGCTGGACCTGGCACATGTGGGTGGAGAGGGCAAGGGGAGATATATTCCACCACCCCCCACTGTCTTCCAGGCAGCCTTGGTCACGCCCTCCCTGCAGATATCCATAGGTCCCTCCCAAGCCTCCGGCCCCACCTTCAAGCCATCCCTGAAATCCTAACCTCCCCAGACTACAGGAAAGGGAAAGGTTGATAAAATTCCATTAACTGCAAACCACCCCCTACTCCAGCACTCCACCTGTGCCACTCCCCTTCCTATTACATTAAAACTGTCTTTGATAGAATTTAATCTTTCCAGTTCCTAATGATAAAGCACCACTATGTGCCAGGCACTGTGACAAGGGCTTTCCATATATTTTCACTAATCCCCTCAAGGCCCTGCCAGGGAAGTATTACTGATACCCCACCCCCTGCCCCCCGACTTTTGTTTTGTTTTGTTTTTTGGAGACAGGGTCTTGGTCTGTCACCCAGGCTGAAGTGCAGTGGTGAAACCATGGCTCACTGCAGCCAGGAACTCCTAGGTCCAAGTTTCAGCCTCCCAAGTAGTTGGAATTACAGGCATATGCCACCACATCCAAGCTAATTTTTATTTTTGGCAGAGATGGGTCTTATTATGTTACCCAGGCTGGTCTTGAATTCCTGACCTCAGGCGATCCTCCTGCTCAGCCTCCCAAAGTGCTGGGATTGCAGGCATAAGATACCACACCCAGCACTGGTCCCATTTTAGAGAAATGTAAACTGGGCCAGGCACGGTGGCTCATGCCTATAATCCCAGCACTTTGGGAGGCGGAGGCAGGTGGATCACCTGAGGTCAGAAGTTCGAGAACAGCCTGGCCAACATGGCAAAACCCTGTCTCTACTAAAAATACAAAAATTAGCCAGGCATGGTGGCAGGTGCCTGTAATCCCAGCTACTTGGGAGACTGAGACGGGACAATCACTTGAACCAGGGAGGCAGAGGTTATAGTGAGCCAAGATCCCGCCACTGCACTCCAGCCTGGGCGGGTGACAGAGCAAGACTCGGTCTCAAAAAAATTAAATTAAATTAAATTAAATTAAAATAAAAAGTAAACTGGGCCGGGCACAGTGGCTCATGCTTGTAATCCCAGCGCTTTGGGAGGCCGAGGTGGGTGGATCACGAGGTCAAGAGATCGAGACCATCCTGGCTAACATGGTGAAACTCTGTCTCTCTCCTAAAAATACAAAAATTAGCCAGGCGTGGTGGTGGGCACCTGTAATCCCAGCTACTCGTTAGGCTGAGGCAGGAGAATCGCTTCAACCCAGGAGGCAGAGGTTGCAATGAGCCGAGATCACACCATTGCACTCCAGCCTGGGCAACAGAGCGAGACTCCATCTCAAAAAAAAAAAAAAAAGTAAACTGAAGCTTTGAGAGTTAAGGGACTTACCCAAGGCCATACACTGAAAGCTGAGTGGTACAGCCAGGATTCAAACTCTGTCCTGTCTGATTCTTCCATGCATAGGTGCTTTTTGGGGTTCATTCCTCTCTTAATCTGCGCCTAATATTGGCTGATACAATATTAGCCTAATTCCTTTCAAGCACATCTATATCGCACATCTATATCATACCTCTTCTTGCTTTTCTCCCCATCATTTACCCCCACCTGACACATCTGCTTATTTGGTTATTGTTTGAATCCCCTAACTAGAATGTAAACTCCGTAAGAGCAGCAACATTTTTTGTAGTTGTTCTCTGCTGTAATCCCCATCCCCAAGCACCACACCTGGCGCTCAGCAGGTACTCCCTAAAAGTTTGCTCAGTGAATTAACGGTTGGCTCAGCAAGTACTTTGGTAGGAGCCTGCCTCAGCAACTGGGCTGCACAGACAGGGTTTCATGGACAAAGAGTGACCCTGTTCTCTACAGGACAGAAAATGTCCTGAACTAAACCAAGTCACAAAATACACCAGATGGCTACCTCATCCAGACTCTCCTTTTCCTTCTGAATGAATAGGACGGGAGCCTCCTATTCAGGGGAAGCTAACTCTGTAACACTTTAGCATCTTGAATGTCTCCAGTCATGGAGAACTTTCTCTTTTTTAAGGAGGAGGCAGCAGCCATTGGGGCAGTGCCAGGAACAGGTACAGCAAGATGCAGGGGGCTAGGCAAGGTCTCCCAGCAGTACTCACACCTATGTCCTGACAAACTTTTCTGTGGTCCGTAGCATGAAGCATCTGTTCAGTAATCTGTGATGTGGCCCAGGAAAGTATCACACAGGAGTGTAATTTGAAAAAGTATATTCGACATGACAATATGATTTTATAGTTAGTGAAAAGAAAAAAAACAACAACAGTATTTTAATGAAAAGTCAACCTTGATGAAAACCTGGCTGGCTTAGTTCTTAAAATCCAGGATTAAAACAAACAAACAAACAAACAAAAAACTGGGTGTTTTTTTTTTTCGAGACGGAGTCTCGCTCTGTTGCCCAGGCTGGAGTGCACTGGCGCGATCTCAGCTCACTGCAAGCTCCACCTGCTGGGTTCATGCCGTTCTCCTGCCTCAGTCTCCCCAGTAGTTGGGACTACAGGTGCCCACCACCACGCCTGGCTAATTTTTTGTATTTTTAGTAGAGATGGGGTTTCACCGTGTTAGCCAGGATAGTCTCGATCTCATGACCTGGGTAATCCGCCCACCTCAGCCTCCCAAAGTGCTGGGATTACAGGTGTGAACCACCGCACCCGGCCACTAATTTTTGTATTTTTACAAAAGATGGGGTTTCACCATATTGGCCAGGCTGGTCTTGAACTCCAGAACTCATGATCCACCAGCCCTGGCCTCCCAAAGTGCTGGGATTACAGGCGTGAGTCACTGCCCCGAGTGGATTTGTTTTTTAAAAAAAGTTGAGAAGCATTAACAGTAAATATTGAATGAATTAGGCCGACCAAACAAAAAAAAAAACAACAAATTTTTGTTTGTAGGGCCACCAAGCAAAAATCTGCCAGGCCTGGTGGCACATACCTGTAGTCCCAGCTACTCAGGAGGCTGAAGTGGGAAAAATCACTTGAGCCTGGGAGGTAGAGGTTGCAGTGAGCCAAGATTGCACCACTGCACTCCAGCCTGGGTGACAAAGTAAGACCCTGTCTCAAAAAACTAAACTAAACTAAAATATTGAAGGAATGTATGAATGCTGGTCATTTGTACTGAACCATTCAACACTGTGTACGTCTGTTATATGATGCAATATTTTATGTAATCCCGACTTTAGAGAGATTCCTATAGCCCTCTAGAACTTGCCCCCACACACCAGAAATAAAAAGGACTCGTGCTTCATGACTAATGTTCTAAGTCTCGAAAATTCTTTTTTTTTTGAGACGGAGTCTTGCTCTGTCACCCAGGCTGGAGTACAGTGGCACGATCTCGGCTCACTGCAACCTCTGCCTCCCGGATTCAAGCAAATCTCCTGTCTCAGCCTTGGCCTCCCAAAGTGCTAGGATTACAGGCATGAACCACCGCTCCAAGTAGATTTGTTTTTTTAAAAAGTTGAGAAGCATTAACAGTAAATATTGAACGAATTAGGCTGAGTGCAGTGGCTCACACTACTCAGTGGCTCCTGAGTAGCTGGGATTATGGGCATGTGCCACCAGGCCAGTTAATTTTCGTATTTTTAGTAGAGATGGGGTTTCGCCATATTGGCCAGGCTGGTCTCCAACTCCTGACCTCAAGTGATCTGCCTGCCTCCGCCTCCCAAAGTGCTGGGATTACAGGTGTGAGCCACCACGTCTGGCCGCCTTGATAATTCTTAATTTAAGATGGGTAGCTTTACATTTTCCAGTAGCTAAAGAGAAAGTATTGGGTCACCTAAGTTATTTCCTGACATTTAGAAAAGATGCAATGAATTACTTGCTAATGACGTGGATCTGCTGCTCATGTCATTCATTAGTTCTTCGGTTTCCCCTATTGAGTAATTAAATCTGTCCATTTGTTTCTGTTCTTCAGTTTCCCCTATTGAGTAATTAAATCTGTCAATTTCTTTCCATTACCACCACCCCAGGTGAGATTCCTAGCACTCCCACCTGGCTTCCTGCAGGTCTCAAACCTTGAGCTGTGTCCCGGTTGAGAACAGGGGCTACGCTTCATTTCTGGTACCTGGCACAATGCTTGGCACATTGGAGTTGCTCAAAAAATGCTTACTGTGTGTTCTGCCTTCCGGGCTGTTCTCCCTCCAGTCGCTCCTGCATGCTTCTCCTGAATGGAATCTCCCTAAAGCAGCACCAGGCTCACCTTGATCCTCCCTTCCCGGGCCTGAGAACCTTTCTCCAAAGTGTGTTCAGAAAACACTGCCCCAGGCCAGGCGTGGTGGCTCACACCTGTAATCCCAGCACTTTGGGAAGCCGAGGAGGGCGAATCACGAGGTCAGGAGATCGAGACCATCCTGGCTAACATGGTGAAACCCCGTCTCTACTAAAAATATAAAAAATTAGCCGGGCGTGGTGGCGGGTGCCTGTAGTGCCAGCTACTCGGGAGGCTGAGGCAGGAGAATGGTGTGAACCCGGGAGGCGGAGCTTGCAGTGAGCCGAGATCGTGCCACTGCACTCCAGCCTGGGTGACAGAGCGAGACTCCCTCTCAAAAAAGAAAAAAAAAAAAAGAAAAAGAAAGCACTGCCCCTCAGGATGCTTGGTGGGAGGCAGGGCAGGGTGGGAGCCTACAGAGAGAGTATACAGGATACACTCAGTAGGCTTACACCACCCAGAGGTTCTGAAGAGTACTGCCCCAGGGAAGCCTCTTTAATTAACTGCTTAATCCAGTGTTTTCCAAATGTGATGGACCACAAAAGCCCTTTTTCCATAAAATCTATTTACTTCCTGGAGAATTAACATCCATACAACACACGCTTTGGGCAATGTGCTGTCCATTTGGTGGCACAAGCCATGCTCTTAGAGACTATGCTATGCCAAGAACCAAGAAGAGTGGCCCAGACCCTATCATGGAGGCAGTGGGAGTCCTTGAGGGTTCCCGAGCAGAACAGCAGGGTAAATGAGCGGGAGGCTTGGGAAAGGGGTGGGGGCTGCCCGAGACAGAAAGGGCCTGTCCCTAAACACCTGCCCACAGCCCAAAGTCCCAGCTGCAGGGGACTCACTGGACCACTTGGTAGTAGCGCTGGAGGAAGAGGGACCAGCCCTCGGGGGTGAGGTACAGTGGGGCCTCCAGGTCCTTGTCGATGTCCATGTGGGCCAGGTTGCTAAGGTACTCCTCGCACGCACACAGAGCTTCATCCACAAACTCTGGGGACACCGACACTGGGTTTTTCTCCTGTTTCTTGCGCTGCTTGTCTCCTGCACATAGGGAGGGGCCTGTCACGATCCCATATCAAGGCAGGTAACCTGACACATGCCACAGCCCCCATTGTCCTAAGGCCTGTCACTTACATGCGGCCCAGCACGTATCTAGATAGATCCCTTACTGCCCTGGGATGTGTCACTTAGCTGACGCTTTGCTCTAAATTCACTGCAACTCTAGCACTTGCCCCTGGCTCCCACTGTCCCAGGACCTGTCACTCACTTAAGACTCTGCCCTAAATGTCCCCAAGTCCTCTGACAGCACCTATAGCCTCTCTGCCCCTGGGACCTGTAAGACACCTGAGGCCCTGCCTAAAATGCACCTGGGAGCCTTGGCCTATGTGAACCCAGTTATACATGAATACCCCTCCCCCACGTCTGACACGACTTCTTAAGTCCACACACCAGAAATCCAGACCCACTCCCAGAATCCTGACACAGAGCTACAACCCTTAGCCCACAGAAGCACTAACCTCTGTGTGCACTGTTATTGCACAAGGCCCTGACACACCTGAAAGTGATTACAGAAACTGACCCTTCAGAAGACCCCCATGCACATCCACAGACCTGACTCACCCGGAACATCGCAGTGCACTGAAGACCCTGATATACAACTGAGGCCCTCAGACCCCTGCAGCCTGACCTATACCATAAAAGTTTAAGCACGGGGTCTCTAGCCACACCTGAGGTCCTTTTGCCCCTTATCCTGGCACACAACCAAACCTTCCCTGTACGTGACACATGCAAGAGACAGCAATGGGGAGGTCTCCCTCTGGAAGAGGCAGGGATTTTCCTCCTTCCTGGAGAGCTGCCTCTACTTCCCTGAATCCCTCACTGATGGGTCCCTGGATTACAGGACTAGGAGCCTGGAGGCACGAGCTAAATCCAGAAAGGGAAAGGGCAGGCAGTGGTTGGGCTGGCATGCAATGATAGTGAGGGTTCCTCTGTGTCCCCCTCCACTCCAAGCTCTTCCTTATGTTCAGGCCTAAGCTGTTCTCGGGCCATGTGTAAAGCCCAGTTTCACTGCTTCCTCCTCCTCAGAGACCTGAGCTCCTCACAGGCAGGGACGGACCATGTCTTCTTAGTCTCCCCTCTCCAGGGTGCTTGGCCACATGCCAGGCCCATGGGAGGGCGGAATGAGGAGTGGATCAACTAACAAATGGATGGGAAGACAAGTGTCTAGGTACCTGGGACAGAAAAATGGATGAGTGGAGGGACTGGAGGACAGATAGGTAGTAGATAGGAGAATGGAATAGCAGGTAGGTAGATGGGTAGATGGATCTGTGGAAGGATAGGTAGGCAGGGAGTGGATAGATGGATGGGGAGTATGGAGCTGACATCAGGTAGATGAATGAAGAGATTAACAATGGGTGACAGGTGGGAGGATGGAAGGATGAATGGAAGTGTGGGTGGGTGAATCGGTAGATCAGAGAGTGGGTGAATAAGTGGGTACATAGGTGAATGGATGAGTGGATGGATGGATGGATGGATGGATGGATGGATGGATAGATAGATGGGTAGATGTGAATCATACACAGATGTGTGAATGAACCAGTAGGTGGGTGGATGAGTAGATAGGTGGAAGGGCAGATGGGTGGAGGATAAATGGGTGGGAGAGTGGAGGTAATCACAGTACTTACCTAAGGCCTCTTCCTCTACTGCCTGGATAGGGTATGACTTCCACTCAGACTTCACCACCAGCTTGAGAACGTTGCGGGCAGCTGTCAGCCAGAAGTCCTCTGCTCCCAGGCCAGGGGATACCCTGCTCAGCCCCTAGGCTTGAGGCCTGTTCTGGTTCCAGAACCTGATCATGACTTGCCCCATTTTGGATCCAGAACCTGACTCTACCTTTTCTGACTCTAGAGCCTGAGTTTAGAACTTGCTCCTGTTTCAGGCCATGTGCAGTGGCTTATGCCTATAATCTTAGTACTTTGGGAGGCCGAGGTGGGTGGATCACGAGGTCAGGAGAACGAGACCATCCTGGCTAACACAGTGAAACCCTGTCTCTACTAAAAATACAAAAAATTAGCTGGGTGTGGTGGCGGCGCCTGTAGTCCCAGCTACTAGGAAGGATGAGGCAGAAGAATGGCGTGAACCTGGGAGGCGGAGCTTGCAGTGAGCCAAGATCGAGCCACTGCACTCCAGTCTGGGTGACAGAGTGAGATTCCGTCTCAAAAAAAAAAAAAAAAAGGACTTGCTCCTGTTTCAGTTGTGGAACCACACCCCAAATCTGACCTGACTTGGATCATATTCTGCCTTCAGAATCTGGCTTGGACCCATTGTCTGATTTATTTCTTCTGTTCATCACCTACTTTTGATACTTATTCTATCCTGAGAACCAGACTATGTCATATTTCAGATTTTGAATGTAATTTAAACCTAGCATAGAATCTGGATCCAAATTCTAACCTGAATTTAGAACGTATTGTGGAATTGGAACCTAGTCTGCCTTAGAAACCCAAAGCCTGCAGCCTTTTTTGGAACCCAATTCAACAAGTGGAACTTGATATAAGCCTGGAATCTGTTCTGGATTCCAAACTCAAGGGACTGACCAACTTTTAGAACCTGCTCTAGAATATAAGCCAAGCTACCTGAGCTTTTCTGGAGGTCAGAGTTGACCAAGCTAAGAGGCTCATTAAGGGAGGGCACATTAGGGAAGGATAAGGATTGAGGGTGGAAAAGGAAATCTGCTGGGGCAGACGAGGACATGAAGAGAGGCCTGTTGCTCTCCAACATGAGCCAGAGCTTCAGCCCTGCTCCGTCAGCCTGAGGTCCAGGCATAGGGCTGGGGGTCTCCTTACCTATGAAGGCTTTTTTGTCATCCTCAGCCCCCAGGCGGTAGCAGCGTGGGAAGAAGGAATTGGCATCAACCTCATCAAACCACGGCAAATTCCGGAGATTGAGACATAGACCCACCTACAGAGTTAGTGCTGAGAGGGCAGGGCGGGACTGCCCACACTCAGCACATACCCAGACAGCTCAGAAAGACCCTAACTGGATATGCTCTCAGAGCTTTGGCCCTACTTGCAAGGTCTGAGTTGCTCACATCTATCACCATATATTTGCCTGGGCAGTGTCCTTTGCCAAGAATGCCTGACGTCCCTCCTGTCCACCCTTTCACATTTTTTTTTTTTGAGATGGACTCTCGCTCTGTTGCCCAGGCTGGAGTGCAGTGGCACAATCTCAGTTCACTGTAAGCTCTGCCTCCCAGATTCATACCATTCTCCTGCTTCAGCCTACAGAGTAGCTGGGACTACAGGCACCCATCACCATGCCCGGCTTATTTGTTGTATTTTTAGTAGAGACGGTGTTTCACCGTGTTAGCCAGGATGGTCTCGATCTCCTGACCTGTGATCTGCCCGCCTCGGCCTCCCACAGTGCTGGGATTACAGGCGTGAGCCACTGCACCTGGCCCACCCTTTCACATTCTTAAAGAGCTGCCAAGGCCAAGCGCAGTAGCTTACACCTGTAATCCCAGCACTCTGGGAGGCTGAAGTAGGAGGACTGCTTGAGGCCAAGACCAGCCTGGGCAACATAGCAAGACCTCACCTCTTAAAAATAGAACAAAACAAGAGCTGCTTCTTCTAGAATCCTTCCTAACCCACACCAATAATATAATGGCAGGTCATTATTATAAAGCCCTTCATCCTTGCCACAATCCCAGAAGATAGTCCTTACTGGTATTCTCACTGAAAGATGAGAAAACTGAGGCTCAGAGAGGTGAAGTCACTTGCTAAGAAACCCAGGTAAGACTGGGCATGATGGCTCATGCCTGTAATCCCAGCACTTTGGGAAGCTGAAGTGGATCACCTGAGGTCATGAGCTCAAGACCAGCTTGGCCAACATGATGAAACCCCGTTTCTACTAAAAAATACAAAAATCAGCCAGGTGTGGTGACACACACCTGTAGTCCCAGCTACTCAGGAGGCTGAGGCAGAAGAATTGCTTGAACCTGAGAGGCAGAGATGGCAGTGGGCAGAGATTGCACCATTGCATTCCAGCCTGGGAGACGGAGTGAGACTCCACTCAAAAAAAAAAAAAAAAAAAAAAGGAACCCAGGTAAGACAGAATGGGTTCATTAGCCAGATATCTTCTGCTTAGGAGGTTAAGAGTCTGCTTGCTCACTATCATTGGGTTTGGTGATTGTTCTACCTCCAGACCCATTTGAATGCTGGAGCCCATTTTAGTCACTGTATCTACACATGCCAGATACGGTGCAGGGGCTGGATTTGAACCAGCCAGATGCTGGTCAGACTCCAAATCTTCTGAATTATATACTTCCCCTTGCCCTGAGAACTTCCTCTTACTAACAAGGAGAGCAGGGAGGAGGGCTGCCAGCCCAAGGGCGGGGAGTTGGAGGCTGCCCTGCTTGCTCCTCTAGGGAGCCCACCTTTGTGGTAAAGGAGCCAGCCCGGGCGTAGTGGTTTATCATCTGATCCTTGGAGAGGAAGCGACAGTCGAGCACATCCCGCTGAGTGGTCCAGATGAAGTAGGGGGTCTCATTCTGAACCATGCGGGACTGGGGAGACAGGGAGGAGACAGAAACACAGAGGCCAGTGTGGGTAGCAGGGCCTAAGGCAGCCTCTCCCTGTCCTGCTGAGCAGGGTGGGTGAACAGGAAGGAGAGGATGCTTCCAAGGTGGACTCTAGCCCACACATCATCTTTGTGTAAGTCGATTTCTCTTCCTCCAGGGCACAGGTGGGCAGAGGCCAAGCCAGCCTTTCAGGTTCCTTTTGGCCTTAGGGATGCCAAAGACTCCCTTCTGCCTCCCTTTGTCACCGCTTAAGGTGTCCTATGAGGCTTGTCATTCTCAGCCCCCAGGTGGTGGCAGCGTGAGAAGAAGGAGTTGGCATTAGCCTCATCAAACCACGGCAAATTCCAAAGACTGAGACATAGACCCACCTATGGAGTTAGCCGCTGAGGAGACAGGGCCCCTAAGGGTATCCCCAAGCAGTGACAAAGCTGCACAACTGAATGTCACACTTTGTTCTGGCCCATGGTCATCAGTGACTTGCCCAGGGGCAGGACGGTGACTCCAAGCTGATGGGCACACAGCCTGTGACAAAGGCTCTCTCATGGACCCCACCTCTCTCCATCCTTCCTACAATTCTGGGAGGTGGGATAATTATTCATAACCAATGTCAGCACATGCTGGGCCCTGCTCTAAGCACTTTCCATGTCAATTCATTCAAGGTTCACCACAATTCTACGTGGTAGGTGCTAAGGTAATCTCTATTTTGCAGATGAGGAAACTGAGGCATAGGAAGGCGAGTGACTTGCCCAAGGGCTCATGAGATTGACCCATATGAAGCTGCCAATATTCAGCCATTCCTGACATAGAGAAATGGCTTTTTTTTTTTTTTTTTTTGAGATGGAGTCTGATTCTGTCGCCCAGGCTGGAGTGCAGTGGCGTGATTTTGGCTCACTGCAACCTCCGTCTCCTGGGTTCAAGTGATTCTTCTGCCTCAGCTTCTCTAGTAGCTGGAATTACAGGTGTGTGCTACCAGACCCAGATAATTTTTTTTTTTTTTTTTTGTATTTTTAGTAGAGACGGGGTTTCACCATGTTCCCCAGGCTGGTCTCGAACTCCTGACCTCAAATAAGCCACCCACCTTGGCCTCCCAAAGTGTTGCAATTACAGGCATGACCCACCACACCCAGCCAGAAATGGCAATTTTATATAGTTGACCTCAGTAAGTGGCACTACCAAGATGGAAACCCAAGTACCCTCACCTCAACATGCATGTCCTCCACATCATCACACCCGACTCTTTCAGCTTTTTTTTTATTTTCCCAGATGGAGTTATCGCTTGTTCTGTCACCCAGGCTGAAGTGCAGTGGTGCGATTTCAGCTCACTACAACCTCCATCTCCTAAGCTCAAGTGATTCTCCTGCCTCAGCTTCCTGAGTAGTTGGGATTACAGGTGCCTGCCACCACAACTGGCTAATTTTTTTTGTATTTTTTTTTTCCAGTAGAGATGGGTTTTCGCCATGTTGGCCAGGCTGGTCTCGAACTCCTAACCTCAAGGGATCTACCCGCCTTGGCCTCCCAAAATACTGGGATTACAGGCATAAGCCACCCCACTCCGCCTCTTCCAGAGCTTTTTAAGTCCTTCCTTCCTACCTTCACTTACCAAGAGCAGAGGGAGAAGGTGAACTATGGGGTTTTTATTTGAAGGGGGAGTTACCATGCATGGAGGCTGTGCTGGCATCTGGTATGACCTAGCAGAGCTCTGAATCACAGGCCAGATGGGACACAGGCCTGATGTGTCCCTCCCCACTCTGCGGCCCTATCCAGCCTTTATTCACTTATTTCTTTTTTAGAGATAGAGTCTTGCTTTGTTGCCCAGGCTGGAGTGCAGTGGTGCGATCATAGTTCACTGCAGCCTGTAATTCCCAGGTTCAAGCGATCCTCCCATCTTAGCCTCCTGAGTAGCTGGGACTATAGGAACATGCCACCACACCTGGATAATGTTTTTCTACCTTTTTTTGTAGAGACTGAGTCTTATATGTTGCCCAGGCTAGTCTTGAACTCCTAGCCTCAAGTGATCCTCCCACCTTGGCCTCCTGAGTAGCTGGGACCACAGGCATGAGCCACCATGCCCAGCTCTATCCAGCCTTTAAAGAAGCAGTTTTTACTACAGATAGGGAAACTGTGGCCCAGAGAAAGAAAGGACTTGTCTGAGGTCACCCAGCTGGACACCAATGCTCTCCCTCTAAGCAGGCGGCCCCTGCTTCATCTTGTCTCCCAGGGCCCTCACCATCAGAGCATGTGTTCCATCTAGGTCATCAAATTTCAGTAAATCACCCAAGTCGAACAGCTGTGGTGGCTGGAACTCCTCATCCTCATCTTCATCCTCTGTGGATGCAGAGCCCAGGGCTGATGAGTTTCCTCTCCCTGCCCCATAGTCCATAAGGCCTCAACCCTGGGACAGTGGGAACCAAAGAAAAGGGACTCAGGAGGGACAGTTGTGGAAAGAGAGGGAACCACTCACCATCCTCAGTGGTGTCACTGTCACCCATCGCTGAGCTATCCAGATCCTTCTGGGGTGGCAGCAGGGTGGGGCCTGAACGATGGACCATCTTCTTCTCCACCCAGCCCCTCCGGCGCAAGAGACACCGGATCACTGGGTAGCAGCCTTGGATTGTAAAGATCTTCTTCTGCTGCAAGGTGAGAGATGGATACTTCTTCAATAAGTATTGCATAAGTGCCAGACATAGGGGATATAAAGGTGAACCAGACAGTATGGACACTGCCATCAGGAAATTTTTATATTCCAGTAGGAGAAATAAACAGACTATAAATAAGTAGAGAAATAAATATGCATGGTAATAATAATAGCAATGGCTACTATTTATTGAGGACCTACTACGTGCTGAGCACTTACATGCATTACTAACAATACTATGCATTTTTGTTTTGTTTTGTTTGAGATAGGGTCTCACTCTGTTGCCCAGGCTGGAGTATAGTGGCACAATCTCGGCTCACTGCACCCTATTCCTCCTGGGTTCAAGCGATTCTCCTGCCTCAGCCTCCTTGAGTACCTGGGATTACAGGTGTGCACCACCATGCCCAGAATTTTTTTTTTTTTTTTTTTGAGATGGAGTCTTCCTCTGTTACCCAGGCTGGAATAGCACAATCTTGGCTCACTGCAACCTCCACCTCCCAGGTTCAAGCGATTCTTCTGCCTCAGCCTCCCCAGTAGCTGGGAGTACAGGTGTGTGTCACTATGCCCAGCTAATTTTTGTATTTTTATTAGAGACGAGGTTTCACCATATTTGCCACACTGGTCTCAAACTCCTGACCTTAGGTGATCCACCCACCTTGGCCTCCCAAAGTGCTGGAATTACAGGCATCAGTCACCGCACCCGGCGCCCAAATAATTTTTATATTTTTTGGTAGAGACTGGGTTTCACTGTGTTGGCCAGGCTGGTCTTGAACTCCTGGCCTCAAGTGATCCTCCTGCCTTGGCCTCCCAAAATGCTGGGATTACAGGTCTCAGGCACCTCGCCCGGCCAATACTATGCATTTTTATTAGATACTGTTATCTCCATTTTACTGGCTATGAAACAGAGGCATAGAGAAGTTGAGCAGGGTGCCTGAGGCCCCACAGTGGTTAAGCAAAAGAGCAGGGATTTACATCCTAGCAGTTTGGCTACAGAAGCTGCATACTTAATGGGATCCAGAGAAACTACTTAGAAATACATGGCCAGGGAAGGTTGAAAGGAAGCCATGAATGCACAGAACTGGGAAAAGGGGATTCAGGCAGAGGGGAATGCATGTGCAAAGGCCTTGAGGCTGGAGAGAGGTCAGAAGGAACTGAAGGGAGACCAGAGTGAGTGGAGCATGGAAAATGATGGGGAAAGCCCCAGAGGAGGTAGGCAGTGGCCAGACTGTGGAAGGCCTGCAGGCCTCAGAATGGACTTGGATTTCATACTAAGAGTGTCGTGAGCAAAAAAGGCTAACTGAGGGAGTCTTTCCAGGCTTGGCTTGCTGCTGTATGGCAAAAAGATGAGGGGACAGGATGGAGGCAGACCAGTTAGGAGGCTGTCATGGTTTGCCTAGGAGAGAAATCACAATTACTAAAATGAAAATGGTTACATCACAGACTGGAGAAGGTGCTAGAGTCGAGAATCGTTTTGGAGGTGGAGATGACAAGTGGTTTTGCTGATGGGATTAGACCTGTGGGTGAGGAAACAGAGAGATGAAATTTCTGGCCTGAGGAACTGAGAGATGGGAAAGACCAGAGACTGGGGAGGACAACAGGTTTGGGCAGGAAGATCAAAGTCTGGTTTGGGACCTGAATTTGAAATGCTTGTTAAGTTTTCTGGGTGTAGATGATAGGTAGGGGGCTGGATCGACGGGATGTGGAGTTCGAGGCTGGGCTGGAAGGGGCACAGAGGGGGTGCAGCACACTGACCGCACTCAGCCAAGGACACAGCCAAAGGAGACAGACCTGGGGAAGGGGCCAGGGGGCCACTAATGGCTGAGGAACCTTTAAAGGCCACTGAAAAGCGGCAGCCAAAGAGGGAGAAAGGAAAACGAGGAGCGTGCGGTCAGACAGCCAAGGGGAAGGGTGTGTGAGGCAGCGGTGTAGAAAGATACAGGGTGCCCAACCGAGATCAAAACAGACAGGCAACGCTGGGTTTGGCTCCCTGGAACTCACCAGGCACCTTGATTAGAGTGGGACATCACAGGGAACCAGAGTGGAGGGAGCCCAGAAGTTTGGTGCTGAAGGGGTAAATGGGGAGGTAGTTGAAGATGGGTGTGGTGGTTGAGGGTTTTTGCTGTTGTTTTTTCTTTTGCTTTTGTTTTTTAAGGATATAAGAAAACAGCGCAGGGAGACAGGTTGAGCCGCTCCCAGGGCCCTTTCTAAGCGCCCCCGCCCCTCCTCTGACCTTGACAGCTCTCTCCACGTAGATTTTGGCGTTTCTGAGCCGGTTCATGTGAGACGCCTTGGAGGATCCTCGCCAGAGGACCGGGAAACCTGCAGAAAGATGCAGTAGGGGCGGGGTAGACTGGGCCTGGGCCTAGGGTCTCGGCCTAAGATCTTTTCTGGCCGCCGATAGCCACGCCTCTTCTCTGCCTCCCGCCTTCATCCGGATGTCCACCCTCGGCCGTTCTTCTCCCGACCCCCATTCCCTCCCCCCACCCCAGCATCTTGTAGTCCTCGCAGCCGCTGTAGGCCAGAGTGAATGCGCCGCACGGGGCCTCACCATCCTGTGGAGAGGGGTCATCCAGGACCGGGGTGTGCGGGGGGCCGAGGGGGCGGGGATCCGCGGCGCCCTGGGCGTGGGTGTCTGGGACCAGCGTCTTGAAGGCGCGGCCGAGGCGGCGCGCAGGAGCGGGGCTGCCTGCCTGGCATCTACCTCCTGCATGACCCTCCTCGGGCTGGGCGGAGGCAGGGCCGGGCCATGGCAGCCTCCTGGGTGGACGGAACTCGGAGCGGCGGGCCAAGGGGAAACTGGTGCGTGGCTCGAGCGGCTGCGGCTTTCGCAGCCAGTTGCACACCGGGCCGCCCCCCTGGCTGTACCAGGAGGCCGAGACCCGGCGCCCGGGCCCCAGCTCCCCAGCGCTCAGGAGCAGCGGCGTGTCGGGGCCCTGCATGCGCCCCTCGCCGCGCTCGCCCTCCCAGCGCCCCTGATCCCGCCTCCCCTCCGCGTCGCCGCCTCCTCTCCCGGGAAGGTCCTGCCTAGGCTCGCGCCTTGTCCTCCGTTCCAAGCCCCGCCCCGTTTGCTGTTGCCTTGGAAACCATTCCCTGGGCACCATCAGACCGCTCGGGGTTGGTTGGGGGCTTCGGCGGGCCCCGGGGCAGTCAAGCGAGGGCTTCCTCAGGACCTGGGGCCTCACCCAGACCCTTGATGAGCGGGGTACTGAAGGCGGAAGAGAGCACTGAGCCCCAGTTAGTGTCGCGGTTCCTTATCCAGTACTTCCTGGTGCCACCGGCCCTGGGGTTTGAGCGATTCTACAGTATTTATAGGCGCTAACAAATGGCCCCTGACCTCATGGAGCTTACAGCCCAGTGAGGGGAATAAAAAGTAACAAAGGAAGGGAATAGTTACAGGTATAATAAGGGCAATGAACAAGCAGAGGTGAAACCAGGAAGAGGACGCATTTTAGATAAAGCGGAGGTAGAGGATGTCCTCTCTGAAGAGGTTACACATTTAAGCTGAAGATGTAAATGCGAGGAGTCAGGAGTCACCAGGGAAAGGGGAGCAACAGCACTTCAGGGAACAAACAGTCCCAGCAACAGCTGAGAAGGGTTAAGTACTACAAGACAGCCAGAGTGGCTGGAGCCTGGTGAGGACAGATCAGACCTGCCGGGCCTGGCAGATGGGCCTAGGTTAAGGTCCTTAGCGAGGGCAGCATATGGGGGTAACATGAAGGTGCAGAGCACACCCTCCCTAGGAACTTGGAAATGGAAAAACTGATCATCATTTGAGTCAACTGTGAAAGAAACGTAATAGATCAGAACAGTTATGCCTGGCCCCCAGGCTAAGACTGTAAGCAACCTTTTTGGAAGCACTGGCAAAGTATTATCCTCAAAAGTCACAGGAGAGATAAGGTTCCAAGATGTTAAACAATTTGCCTCAAATCACAGAGCACAGGCAGCATTGCAACCCAGGTCTGACTCTAAAGCCTGTCTCTTAAACACCTGTATGTTATCACACAGAAGGCTGCCTGTTAGTCACAGAAGGACCACACAGGCACAGTTTGAGAGGCCAACTCTAGCAGTGCCCATGCAGGCAGAGTTGAAGAGAGGACGCTGGTCAGAGCCCAGCTTTGTTAGTCACTGGGTAGATGTGCTCTTAAGAGTGAAGGTGGATCCCCCACCTTCCTGTCCAGCTGATCCTAACCCCCTTTAGCTGATGGCTGGACTTCCCAAAAAGCACATCCCCAGGAGAGGTGATTTAGGGAATTTGGACCCTGGGAGAGAGATACGTGACAAATGAGGGTTGTGGCTGGCTCACCCAGGCAATGCTGTCCTGTGAGGGTTGTTGAGTGACCAGCTGCTATACCCTATTAGTCACCCAGTTTCACTGTGACCACCTTTAACATTCACTGCAAAGCTAGAACATAACCATGTGCCCTGGAGGAGGGAACATCTAATTCAGAGGGGTAGTGAGGTAGGTCACAGAGGTAATGTCATAAAGGCGATGATAACACTTTGGGAGGCTGAGGCGGAAGGATCACCCAAGGCAGCCCAGGCAACATAGCGAGAACTAAAAAAACCAAAAAACAAAAACAAAAAAGTTAGCTGGGCGTGGTGGCACAAGCCTGTGGTCCCAGCTACTCAGGAAGCTGAGGTGGGAGAATCACTTGAGCCTGGAGAAGCTGAGGCTGCAGTGAGCCACGATTGCACCACTGCACTCCAGCCTGGGTGACAAAGCGAGACCGTCTCAAAAATGGAAAAAAAAAAAAAAAAGGTGGCGGGGGAGAGGGGCAATAGCTGTTCAGGTTGCCCTCGCGCCCTCCTGCCTTTAACATCACCTTGTCCACCCCATCAAGAGAGACCCCTCTGGCCATCTGGAGGAATCTCTTTTCAAAGCTCAGCTCAAAGGTTAACCCTTCTTTGAAGCTTACCCTGACACCCTCTCCTATATTTACCCCTTGGCCCCCAGACTTCCAATATTAAATATAACACACTTCAGTGAACCTTTTACATACCTAGTCCTTTTCCAGGACCTCCAAGTCTCTTCAAGGCAAGGATAACATCATGAACACTGGAAATTATTCAACACCCCAGCCACTGGGCTGGTGAACAACTACGGTTGTCAGTACCTGTGTGGCAGGGACCGTGTCAGATTGTTCATATTCATTATCTCTACTTTATAGACTAAGAAACTGAGACACAAAATAGAAATAACTTGACCAAATTTGTCAAGAAGAATCAGGACTCAAACACAAGGGTTTTTTTTTTTTTTTTTTACTTCGAGGTGTTACTAAGGTATAGTACTATCCAATGGAACTTTCTGCAATGATAGGAATCTCTATGTATGTGTTGTATATGCTCTGTGTCTATATATGCTGTTATACATGGTACAGTCACTGGTAGCTGTTAAGCTGCCAGTGGGACTAGGGAACTGGATTTTAAACTTTATTTAATTGTAGGCCGGGCGCGGTGGCTCAAGCCTGTAATCCCAGCACTTTGGGAGGCCGAGACGGGCGGATCACGAGGTCAGGAGATCGAGACCATCCTGACTAACGCGGTGAAACCCCGTCTCTACCAAAAAAAAAAAAAAAAAAAAAAAAACACAAAAAACTACCTGGGCGTGGTGACGGGCGCCTGTAGTCCCAGCTACTCGGGAGGCCGAGGCAGGAGAATGGCGTGAACCCGGGAGGCGGAGCTTGCAGTGAGCTGAGATCCGGCCACTGCACTCCAGCCTGGGCGACAGAGCGAGACTGTCTCAAAAAAAAAAAAAAAAAAAAAAAAAAAACTTTATTTAATTGTAATAATTAAAATTTAAATAGCCACTTGTGGATGGTGATTACTGTTTTGGCACAGACAAAAGTCTACTCTCTTGCTCACTGGCTAGATTTGGGGCAAGTTATTACATCTCATGTTTGGAATCACAGTTTCCTTATCCACCAAATGGGAGCACTGTTTCTCTGAGGTTACTTTTTAGCCCAAGTAAGTTCATTATGTGAAAAGCACCCAAGCTCTGTATAGGCAGAGAGAGCAGTTTCAGAAATGAATGGTGCCTGGACTACAATGAATGGAGTCTCTGGGTTGGGGCCCCTGGTAGGAATAATGGCGGGACCAATCATGAGAGTGCACCCAGTGGGGAGCTCCAGGCACAATTAACAGCCATCTAGTCTCAGGGAAAAGAAGCCCCACCTCCCCTCCTTTCATACACACAGACAGCAAAGACCTCATGCAGCCCCAAAGGGGCAAAAAGAGACTTTAATTAGGGGAGGGAGGATCCACCAGAATCAGAAAAGGGACAGCTAGCGTGGGAGCAGACAAGCCAGAACAGGCAGGAGGGCCCGGCTGGGAAGCTCTGGAGGACTCACCTCGCAACCTCTGGCACAGGCACTGGCACTGACGGACAAGGCGAAACAGCGGCCCCTCTCAACTGGGAGGGTACCCAGTGGCCCCTGTAGTCAGGGGTTGCCTGGTTTTTGGGCCCCAGGTCCTAGGCATGACTGGTGGTCACCAATTTGGCCCTTGTCCCCAACCAGTGCTGGGGGGCCATCTTCAGGCAGAACTCAGGAAGCTGGCAGAAGGTTCCCACCACTTATACTGGGGCCAAGGAGGCTTGGGAATAAAAGGGTAAGGGAGAGAAACTGGAGTCTGAAACCTCCTCCCTCCCCACCTGGGGTGGCATAGGAGAGAAAAAAATAAAGTCGCCTTCTGGCTCCAGGCCCGCCCAGACCCACAGCAACCAATAAGGTACAATCACTGGGACCAGTCACAGTCACTGGAGGTGGAGGTTTTTTTTTTATAAAAAAAAAAAAAAAAAAAAAAAAAGACAAAAAGGTTACAGTATCCTACAAGCACAGAGTTTAAGTTTCAAGAAGTTAAAAAAAAATCTGTCCCGGCCCAGGGCACTGAACATCAGAAGCCAACCTGACCAGGCATGTGTGGCCTTGGGGCAGGTCCACAGCTGCTTTCTTGTCCAGCTAGCAAGCACATCACCCACCTCCCGCATCAAATGCCCACCCCAACCCAGCTCCCTGCCGCCGCCGCCGCTGCTCTGGGGAGTAACTCCAGGATGCCTTCGTGGAGACATGGGTAGTCTGAGGGGGAAGGCCACAAGATCCAGCCAGATGGTTTAAAACTGTCAAGAGAACCAAGAGGCAGTGCATGGTGGTTATTATTGCATCCTGGTAGGACTGCTCTAAGGAGGTGCGTGAACCTGAGCTGCCACTGTGCTCATCTCTCTGATGGGCAGAGTTGGGTCCCAGGACACCTTGTGGTCATGCTCTAATTCAGCCAGCTTTCAGAAGTGACCTATGGACACCAGCCCTAAGCCTAACACTAGATGAGGCAGAAAAGTTAACAGCCATGGAGCTTCTCCACAGCTCCCCTGTGCCCTGGCATGGAGGCTGCTAGAAAGCCCTGTCAGCATCCTGCCTGGTGAACTGAGGTTGCTTTCTTTAGGCATGGGGGCTCTCATGCAAGGGGCTTGGGGACTCAGAGGGCCAAGTGGAGAAGGACCCAGGTTCTGGTACTTTTGTGTCAAGCTCTGGATGATCCTCCAACCAAGACAGGCCCTTGAAATGTTTTCTGCCCTCAAGGGTCCCCCATGCTGCCTAGGACAGCCCTGGACATTTTAGAGACCAAAGGTTGTGAACCAATGGTCCATGCCTGAAACCAGCCCAAAGATGAGCACTGTATGGCCCACATGGTGTTTAAAAGAGTATGAATTAGTTGGCCAGGCGCGGTGGCTCACGCCTGTAATCCTAGCACTCTGGGAGGCCCAAGTGGGTGGATCACGAGGTCAGGATATTGAGACCATCCTGGCTCACACGGTGAAACCCCATCTCTACTAAAAGTACCAAAAAAATTAGCTGGGTGTGGTGGTGGGCGCCCGTAGTCCCAGCTACTCGAGAGGCTGAGGAATGAGAATGGCATGAACCCAGGAGGCGGAGCTTGCAGTGAGCCACACTCCAGCCCGGGCGACAGAGCGAGACTCCATTTCAAAAAAAAAAAAAAATATTGGGGGCTCAATGGCCTGGAGGTGTGTGGGAGCCAGCCCCTGCAGATGAGCCATGTGCTTGGCAGCTCCTCATCCTGCCCACTCCAAGGCTACTCAACCTTTAGATGCACCTGAATTTGTGACCCCGACAAAGGTTATGGTACTATCTTAGACCTCTGAGTCTGAAAACCCAGTTCCACATTCTGGTTCCTCCTTACTGGCTGAGGGACCTTGGACAGGTGCTTTTGCTTCTAGAGCCCCAGTTTATTAATCTCTAAAATGGCGATAATAGCTGACTCAAAGATTGTTTTGAGTAATAAACGGGATATGTGAACATACTTTTTTAGGTGTCTAATTCTGTGTGATGTAATTATCATAAATAAGTAAATGATTGTTGAAATGAGTAAGCCAATATTGGAACAAGAGCTATTTTCCCCTTCCAGTTCAATCTAGAGGGTTCCTAGTATCCTGGTCATAAAACTTCAGTGCTGCCGCCGGGCGCGGTGGCTCACGCCTGTAATCCCAGCACTTTGGGAGGCCGAGGCGGGCGGATCACAAGGTCAGGAGATCGAGACCACGGTGAAACCCCGTCTCTACTAAAAATAAAAAAAATTAGCCAGGTGCGGTGGTGGGCGCCTGTAGTCCCAGCTACTCAGGAGGCTGAGGCAGGAGAATGGCGTGAACCTGGGAGGCGGAGCTTGCAGTGAGCTGAGATCCGGCCACTGTACTCCAGCCTGGGCGACAGAGCAAGACTCTGTCTCAAAAAAAAAAAAAAAAAAAAAAAAAAAACTTCAGTGCTGCAATACATGGAAGGCTTACTATGTACCAGGTGCTATGTTTTACACACATGGTCTCACTTAATGCTCAACCACTCTGAAAGATAAGTATTAATTACCAGATCTTCATTTCACAGCTGAGGAAACTGAGGCTTAGTTGAAAGTTCAGTGACATGCCTGAGTAGGTGGTGGAGCCTGGATTCACACACAGGTGGTCTGCCTCCACAGCTGAGTGAGCTGAACAACCATGCTGACCTGTGCACACACTATGGCTACTCTGTATACTGGCCACCCTCAGTATAATTAAATCCCAAGGGAAGCGGGTATAATTTCCATTTTTAGGAATCTGAGCTCCTTCTGGACTGGGTGTGTACTTACTAGTGGGAGTACACACTAAGTCTACCATCTAGAGATCACAGCCACTCTGGGTGGAACATATCAACAAACCGAAGATTGTTTGGAAAAAGGAGAAAAAAAAAAGAGGGCATGTTCTGAATATCTAAACAACTAAGAACTATGTCATCAGTTCATCAATGTAAACAATTCTACCTCTTCAGATGACTACGTGCTTTCAATTAGAAAGGCATAAACAATGTAAGAGGAATCTGGAGGACTTATATCATGCAAGTGATAGAAAACAGGTTGAAGGAATCATGACTAAGCCTGAGAAACATGCTGAAGGGAAGTACTGAAGTCTATTTGAGAAGTGGAATTATAACATGATAAACTGTCCTATATTCCTAGAAAATTCACACGCAGACTTCACTTGCCTCGCTTGGGGTTTGAATAAGATAGA